ACATTTTTATTACACTTTTATGAGAGTCCATTTTGGGTACCAAGGTTTAAACTTACTACTAAGGTACAAACCAAAAATAATAATGCATCCAAATCAATGTTGTTATCAATTATTGACCTAGGCAAGGCTCTAATAACCTCATCCCAAATATTCCACTTTGCAACTCATTTGTGGAAAATATTCATATTTTGTGTTTTTCCCATTGAGAAAATCAGGTGTTTTTATGACAAAAAGGGCAAAAAAATAATGTAGAATTTAAAAAATTATAAAAACTTTATATCTAAGGTTAGGTCTGAAGTTGTTTAAAAGATTTGATGCGGTGAAAGTGAAAAAAAATATTTATATATGACATTTTTATTACACTTTTATGAGGGACCATTTTGGGTCCCAAGGTTAAAACTTGTATGTTCATTTTAAAGGTGCCTCAAAGGTTAAAACCACTACCAACTACTACTAGTTAGTCAGCACTATTATTATTGGTTATTGGTTAAACATATAAAGTCATTCAGTTTATTTCAACCTTTAACATCTGCAACATTAAAGTGAAACAGATGAATGCATTCATTATTATAATTCAAGAGGTTTATAATCATATGTACAGTAGGAGACACAAGGTTTGTACGTACAGTGAAAGTCTTACTTTGCAACAAACTAGTAAAAGAGTAAGAATATAAAAATGTTTAATATAAAATATAACTACAATATAAGCAGATATATTATTATAATCCAGTAATATATATGTATATATTCATTAAGACTTAAGTTAAAGTATAAAGCCTTTATGTGTATGTTTTAAGTGTATATGTACATATATATAGATGTATTTTTACTTAACTCATCATTTGAATGCTGGACTATTTATATTGTTGAGTATTTTAACACTGTAGTATTGCTGCTTAAAAAGATCTGAATACTTTTTTTACAACTACAACCAAAAGTGCAAATCCACAGCACCATTCATCATTATTATATATATTGTAATGTATTTCTCATATTGTTCAGTTTTTCTCTGTTATGTTATGTGTCTCAGTACATGTGTCATTATTACAATCACTTATTGTTTTATTAAATATTTCTATGCTAATTGTGTTTTCCATTTTTTTCCACAGAAAACTTGCCAATGAGAGTTTTGTTTTGTCTCAGTGTATTTTGATCATATCGTGTTATGCATGACCAAAAAAAACTGTTCATTTAAGCAATCTGTGAATACTCACATGGTAACAAACACTCGTGTTCATTGCGTATTCATCATGCAACATCTATAGAACATGAAAGCAGTAACATCACAGACTAGGTCGTACACAAGTTTATACATAATAAAGGTGGGATTTCTGTATGTTCGGGGTTACTTTACTATTTCATTACTTAGGTATCTGTTTCCTCATACAAACACAAATCTATTCAAGTTTTCCTCTTTTGTATCTTCAGATATAAATGTTATTTAACGTTAATGTCTCTTTTTCTCACATGGTCTTCCCATTGTATCACCAAAAAAGCCTAAATTTATGTATTCAAATGTCTTATTCTGGAACTACATTATGTTTGGCAGTCTTTCTTGAAACATTAGTTAAACAATGAATCAAGTATCGATTATTTCGATTGATTATCCAATACAGTTAATCTACTAATTTCAGCTGTAGTTCATTTTACTCGAAAATAGCGACAAAGTGAGAGCTCCTCCTTTTCTCTCCCATCTACCTATCACTCTTCCAAATGACAAAAAAAACAAAACATGGATCTCGACTAGAGCATGATGGTATTTGTAGTTTTACTCGGTCGGCGCCTAACTACATAAAAACACAACATTTGTTATGTTTTAATACGCACCCGTTTTATTCAGTGCACTTTTTTTTTTTGTTACTTTCTCAGTGAACGCCGCATTTAAGTGTTAAAAAAAACTACATTTCAACTAAAAATATTTTACCATGCGCAGAGGATTGTGGCTCTTGTAGGAAAAAAAAAAACTACACCCCGTAGAAGAACTACAACTCCCAGAGCACACCTCTGCGTGGCTTTATTACTTGTTCATGGCGTCTGGTCGAGGGCTACAGAGAGGTCGCCTTCCGACAAACAGATAGGCCGGTGACTTTAACGGTAAGTGGCACCGGTTGTGAGCTTTTCCGTCGAGAGTTTTTGGGGGAGCAAAGATTATCTGTGGCGGGAAATATTTGGGGCAGATAGACGTGTGTCGCATTACTGTAGATAGTGTGTCCTAGATACACAACCGACACAACCTCCTGCTGGTTATAACACACAGTTACAAGTTCACTGGCGTTGCAAAAGTCTGGGTTTATGTTTATATTCATTTATAAATGCTATTGTGGCAGCAGCTTTTTTAGTCGGCACTTCTCCTACTGCAGCGGTGTTTGTTTATTTACCGCCTGTCTGCCTGTCTGTCTGCCTGTCTGCAGGTTTTTGTGTCGGTACAATGGAGGTGGAGAGTGTGCCAGTGGACGACGACAGGCGTCTGACCCAGCTGAGGTTCGATGCCGCCGTCAAGGTGATCAAGAGTTTGCCCCCGGATGGTGAGTTGACCACGCCGGTCTGCCACAAGCCTCCAAGCCCAGTATGATGAGTGTACAGCCGGGGGAGGAAGGAGGCTTTAACATGGTGCTCAAACACAGCGCAGCAGCCTGGTCTGTCTTTGGATCTTGTGCGGTTTAAAAGGCTTAATCCACTTTACTAGCAGCGTACAGACACCTGCCAGCAGTCTGCAACTTAATGCACATTCATTAGCTGTCATTTATAAAAAAAGTCTTGTCTCAGAGCCTTCACAGATGTGCAAGAGACAAGAAACAGTTAAACATTTTCAGTGTAACATTTCTGTTTTGATGATTTAAAGTTTATTCCTCTCAGGTCCCTTTCAGCCGTCCAATGACATGATGCTCAAGTTCTACAGTTACTATAAACAAGCCACTGTGGGAGCGTGCAATATTCCCCGACCTGGCTTCTGGGATGCAGTCGGGAAAGCAAAATGGTAATGCCACTCAGTATGTGCTTTTTGTTTTTGCCTCAGTGTAACTTAAACGTTAGTATTTGTGACGACACGGTGACCGTGGTTCTTTATGTTTGTCACTTTGAAGCATCATTTGAACGTGAATCCCACACACTCCAAGGCAAATCACGAAATTTAAACGGCCTCTGACTCGCGCGCGTTGCTCAACATGTTGCTTTTTTTTGCCCGCTCGTTGTGCAACACAAGACTAAAAGAGTAAAAATCCCCTCCACTCTTCTCCTTCTGTTAAGTGTCA